AAAATCCTCATTATCCTTTTTCGTGGATGGTTTGGGAGGAAAAGGCATGGGTTTCTGAACCCATGGTTCTCTTTCTTTACCATGTTTCCTAGCAACAAAGTCTCTCTTATCATAACGTTGATTCTTTGACTGTGGGTTATCAAGATCGACAACATGTTCAATTTCTATATCATTATCATTGCTAGGTTGGGCATCAACATGAACATTATCATTAACATTATCACTAGTTTCAGGTTCATTACCAGATTGTGTTTCAGCATCAGAAATAGAAATATCATTTGGATTCTCAGGTGTTTCAGTAATAGGTTCGCTAGAAGCATGCAAAGTCCTATCATTCTTCCTTTTCTTCCTTTTAGAAGGACCAGGTGCATCTATATTATTTCTCTGAGAATCTTGCTCAATTCTCTTAGGGTGGCCTTCAGGATACAAAGGTTCCTGAGTCATTTTACCAGTTATAGTAGCCACTCTAACATCAAAATCATTATTCTTACTATTCAATTCATTGAGCAAATCATTTTGAGCTTTAAGTACTTGTTCTACTTGAGTGGTAACCATAGAAGCATGTTTACTAATGAGTTTAAGTTCACCTTTGACATTAGCCATATAATCACCCAAGTGTTCAAGCATATCAGCACTGCATTTTAATTCTCTACCAAAATAAGCATTGAAGTCTTCTTGCTTAACCATAAATTTAACAAACTCATCTAAGCATGGGCTAGCAAACTTAGTAAATGAGATTTCAGCCTTATCATATCTATAGAGAGAATTTACCTTTACTACCTGTGTCGAGTTATCAAGACCATGTATTTCTTCAATAGGAGATGGATTAAAATTATGCATTTCTTCGACAGGTGGTAAATTAAGACCATGTATTTCTTCAATAGGAGGTAAATTCTTAACATCTTCAGCTTTAATACCCTTTTCTTTCATGGATTTCTTTGCCTCTTGCATATCTTCAGGACTGAGAAATAGAACACCTCTCTTCTTCGGAGTTGGTTTAGGAATAGGCTCAGGAAGTGTCCAATTATTTTCATTAGTCAACCTATTGTTTAATAGAATTTCAGCTTCACCCGGTGTTCTTTCCCTGAAAACAGAACCAACACAACTATCCAGGTAGTCTCTGGAAGCATCGGTTAGTCCATTATAAAAGATATCAAGTATTTCATTTTTCTTAAGAGGATGATCAGGCAAAGCATTAAGTAATTGGAGAAGCCTCCCCCAAGCTTGTGGGAGACTCTCTTCTTTAATTTGCACAAAATTATATATATATCCCTTAAGGCAGCTTGTTTCTTATGAGCAGGGAAATATTTAGCAGAGAAGTAATAAATCATATCCTGGGGACTACACACACAACCACGATCAAGAGAATTAAACCATATCTTAGCATCACCCTTTAATGAGAACGGAAATATTTTAAGGATATAAAAGTAGCGAGTTCTCTCATCATTAGTGAACAGGGTGGCTATATCATTTAATTTAGTAAGATGTGCCACAACAGTTTCAGATTCATAGCCATAAAAAAGATCAGATTCAACAAAGTAATTATATCAGGATCAACAGAGAATCCATAATCCTTATCAGTAACACAGATAAGTGAAGTAGAAAAAACAGAAATCATGATCAACTAAGCCCTAGTAGCTTCTTCATCCATAACATAACCCTTAGGAACAACAGATAATTCATATTTATTAGGGGGAGAGTCTTCATCATCACTTTCATCAATATTATCAGTTTCAATAATTTCATTCTCTCTAGCCCTAGCAAGTTGTTCATCAAGAAATTCAGCAAGTGGCATAGTAGTATCAAGCATAGAAGTAGTATCATCATAAGTATCATGCATAGCAGAAGTGGCATCATCAATAACATGCGACATATCAGAATCAATAGCAGAAGCAGGTTTAGGTGTCGCAAGCTTACTCAAAATAGAAGGTGAATCAAGTGCAGAGCTAGATGGCAGTTCCTTACCTCCCCTCGTAGTTGAGGGATAAATCTTGGTTCTTGGATCTTTCAAGTTCTTCATAATGATAAGCAGATATAAATCCCAAGTGACTCAAAGAATAGAGCTATGCTCCCCGGCAACGACGCCAGAAAATAGTATTGATAACCCACAAGTATAGGGGATCGCAACAGTTTTCGAGGGTAGAGTATTCAACCCAAATTTATTGATTCGACACAAGGGGAGCCAAAGAATATTCGCAAGTATTAGCAGCCGAGTTGTCAATTCAACCGCACCTGGAAACTTAATATCTGCAGCAAAGTATTTAGTAGCAAAGTAATATGATAGTAGTGGTAACGGTAGCAAAAGGTAATGATAAAAAAAGTAATGTTTTTGGTATTTTGTACTGATTGTAACAATAGCAACGGAAAAGTAAATAAGCGAAGAACAATATATGGAAAGCTCGTAGGCAATGGATCGGTGATAGAGAATTATGCCGGATGCGGTTCATCATGTAACAGTCATAACCTAGGGTGACACAGAACTAGCTCCAATTCATCAATGTAATGTGGGCATGTATTTCGAATATAGTCATACATGCTTATGGAAAATAACTTGCATGACATCTTTTGTCCCACCCTCCCGTGGCAGCGGGGTCCTAGCGGAAGCTAAGGGATATTAAGGCCTCCTTTAATAGAGTACCGGACCAAAGCATTAACACATAGTGAATACATGAACTCCTCAAACTACGGTCATCACCGGGAGTGGTCCCGATTATTGTCACTTCGGGGTTGCCGGATCATAACACATAGTAGGTGACTATAGACTTGCAAGATAGGATCAAGAACTCACATATATTCATGAAAACATAATAAGTTCAGATCTGAAATCATGGCACTCGGGCCCTAGTGACAAGCATTAAGCATAGCAAAGTCATAGCAACATCAATCTCAGAACATAATGGATACTATGGATCAAACCCTAACAAAACTAACTGGACTACATGATAAATCTCATCCAACCCATCACCGTCGAGCAAGCCTACGATGGAATTACTCACGCACGGCGGTGAGCATCATGAAATTGGTGATTGATGATGGTTGATGATGACGACGATGATGGATTCCCCTCTCCGGAGCCCCGAACGGACTCCAGATCAGCCCTCCCGAGAGGTTTTAGGGCTTGGCGGCGGCTCCGTATCGTAAAACGCGATGAATCCTTCTCCCTGATTTTTTCTCCCCGAAAGTGAATATATAGAGTTGGAGTTGAGGTCGGAGGAGCTCCAAGGGGCCCACGAGGTAGGGGGCGCGCTAGGGTGTGGGCCCCCTGGTCTTGATCTTTTGACAGGATTTTTTATTATTTCCAAAAATAGTCTCCGTAAAGTTTCAGGTCATTCCGAAAACTTTTATTTCTGCATATAAATAACACCATGGCAATTCTGCTGAAAACAGCGTCAGTCCAGGTCAGTTCCATTCAAATCATGCAAGTTAGAGTCCAAAACAAGGGCAAAAGTGTTTGGAAAAGCAGATACGACGGAGACGTATCAGGGGGCAGTTCGACTATGGCACGTACGACCTTGCTTCGCTCTTTTGCCATGGCAAGGACTCGGCGATTCGGGCACGGAGGGCCCTCCAGCCTCTGCCTTAAGGGCTGCCACGACATCGCGCGCCCGCTGCCTCGCGCGTCGAGCACGCTATGCCTCCTAGCCGGTTTAATCGTAAACCATGGAGGCGGCTATGGCTCCATTTCGGTGCCCGACGTTGCGGGGATGAGGCCAATGCATGCCGGATCTGATATGGCGGGCGGGTCCGGGCGTCCTTATATCCGCCCCGCATATAGGCCGGATATGGGGTTGCCGATTAGCCCAAGCGCGCATGGACTAAGTTTTAGGCGTCCGGTTGGTTGGCAATTTTACATTCGGACCACTTAATTTATTTTATTTTTACATTCAGACAGTGATTGTGCAGGTGGTCCGAGAGGCTCTGGTTGTAGATGCTTCGAAGTGAGCCAAGTGGCCATGATTCAAACCAAAATCGTACTTCCTCTGTTTGAAAAAACTTGTTCCTCAAATGCATATATCTAGCATTAAGTTTGAGGAACAAACTTGGCACAAGTATTTTCAGACAAATGGAGTATTAAGCTCGGTAGATTCAGGGCCTATTTGATTCCAAATAAGTCATCAACTTATAAGTCGAAAAGTGAAAAAGGTGACTTATTTTGCCAAACAGACCCAATTTATAAGTCATCCCAACTTATAAGTCATAAGTTGCTTCACCCCAACTTAAAACTTATAAGTCACCCCTTTTGCATGGGTCCCACCACCTTTACATAAAAAAACAAGATGGAAATGTGTGGTCAGGAGACTGTGACTTAGGGCATCTTCAATGGTTGTAAGATAGTTGTTGGTAGATTTTGCCACATAGGATTTTTGATGATGTGTCATACAATAAATGAGGAAAGAGAGAAAGATTGTATGTACATGAATCAACACCCTTTGCACAAGCTCCAATGTAGTGAGAGAGCACATTATTTATTACTCCCTCCGTTTCTAAATAATTGTCTTTCTAGGCATTTCAACAAGTGACTACATACGGAGCAAAATGAGTGAATCTACACTCTAAAACATGTCTACATACATCCGTATGTAATAGTCATTTAAAATGTCTAGAAAGACAAATATTTAGGAACGGAGGGAGTATCTCACATCGTATTGGGCAAACTACATACAACCCATTGAAGTTGTTGTATATTAAGGTGTTGTTGATGACATGTCATATTTTACCAACAAGCTAACATACAAACTGTTGGAGATGCCTTTATTGGAACCAAACCAGCCCTCAATGATTCAGCACCAGGCAATAATAAATCTTTGCCAAAAAAAGGCAATAATAAATCCACCTGTCAGTGACTCAACACGAGCAGATTCCAGAGTCTCCGACCCACTCCACCTCTTTCTCCACGCCAAAACTAAACTAAAAAGATTCATCTTCACCAAATCTCTCCCTCCACCCACCCACCCCCCAGCCGGAAACCCTAGACCGCCGTCGCCGCCGGCGATGGCCGCATGAGCGATGCCCCTCCGAGGAAGCGCCCGCCAGCCAGCTCCGTAGCTCGAGCAGCCGCCGCCGTCGTCGTAGCCGCCCTCGCGTCCTCCTTCGTCGCCCTGTCCCCTCGCTGCGCTCCGGCCGACGCGGGATCCAGGCCCGGCATGTCGAAGGCGAGGGTCTACACCGACGTCAACGTGGTGCGCCCCAAGGAGTACTGGGACTATGAGGCGCTCACCGTACAGTGGGGGTAAGGCGCTGACGTCACGTCCTAATCAGCAGCCATAGCTAATTTCTATGTTCACTTTGCTGATGGCTTGTATGCTCGTCGATTTCGGTCAGTGCTGGGTGTGGGTTATTCGTTGGGGCTGCAAGGTTAGGCGTGTGTTCAGTAGAGATTTAGTGAGGTTCGCGGATTTTTCTTCATCCCTGTCAATTGCAGGGTGTGATTGCTGATTAGGGAATTGCAGTTTGTCCGTGCGTGCGTGCACTCGAGAATACGAGCAATATAGTCCTCGTGTTCTTATAAAACCGTGTGTTAAATATTGCTTTGGTAGCTTCTGGCTTCTGCATAAAGCTTATGAAATTAAGAAGTTACTTTAGGCAAATAACCTTGAGTTAAAGATTGGTAATTGATATTCCCATGTCCCTGATCAGAAAGGTTTATTGAAGAATGGGGGTTTTCTCTGCAGTATTCTGCTTTTGACCTTTTCTAGCACTATCTTTCAGACTTTCACCCAATATTGTTAGGTATTCTACTTGAAGTTCATTTAATTCATTTGGACATGCCAAGATGTACACTGTCCTTACTAATCCACCTCTTTCCAGTAACCACTGTGGTCCTTCTAGTATACTTTAAATTTGTGCTGCGATCCTGCAGCAACTCCAAGCAACCACAATAATGTACTTATATTGTCCATTCTATTGAGATCATCAAAATGTTTTCGTAATGAATAGGCAGAGCTCCTGCTGGTTTCTTGGGAAAAAAATCATCATATTTGATGTACATCATGTGATACCAAGTGTATATTTGAACCTTCTAAAGACTGCTTTTGTTCAATTGATACACTTGTATTTTCTTTCTCTGCGTCAACTTAGGCCCAGTTCTTTTGACAACCTATGGCAGGTTATGGCATAAGCCGCACTCTCTCCAGCTTATTCTAGAAGCCGGCCTGATTTTTTGGGGGGCTTCTAAACTACGCTTCTAGAATAAGCTGGGGAGGGGGTAACTTATTTTGGCAGCCACCAACAGAATTGGGCCTTAGTTTGCTTCTGTTGTCAGTTATTTTGATTGTATATTTAAGTGTGAAAAAGCATCGTGATTAATTGTAGCTGATTTGCTGGCCCTCCTTGTTCCATCTGTACTTCATAAGAGACTGTAGGGAAAAAAGTGTGAATGTTTTCTACAACATGGTGATATGAACGTCTTTTCTAAGAATACCTGTCTTATCTTTGCGACTTCTAATCAGTAACGATTTACTTTATAAATCAACTCTTAAGATTTATCCCCAGTATCGTTTTTGCGGTTAGTTTAATTCTCTTTGGCGAAAGGTAATTGAAACCCTAGCCTCTTACGCTTTTCATGTTTCCACCGAACTAATACCGTGCTAACCATTGCCACATCTCTAACCAGTGAGCAGGATGACTATGAAGTTGTCAGGAAAGTTGGAAGAGGTAAATATAGTGAAGTGTTTGAAGGCTTCAGTGTTAACAATAGCGAGAAATGTGTCATTAAGATACTCAAGCCCGTAAAGAAAAAGAAGGTACTATATGAAGCTTTGTAACTTATATTGAGATGTGAACTACTCATTTGCATGTTGAACTGTAGATTTTTTTATCCCAGTAAGAATCCTTTTATGGATTATACAGAACCAAAAAGATTTCCATCAAGAGTAGAGCGCACAACTAAGAAATACGGGATAGGAACATAAAATAAATTGAGTAAACAGTAGTATAAAAATTTATAACTTCTCTAAAACTTGCAGAATTTGCTCGAGTGCCAGGTCAGTAGTATAAATTGAGTAAACAGTAGTATAAAAATTTATAACCACTCTTAGCCGCTTCTTCGTCACTTTGTGATGGAGACTTGTGAGTATGTCATCATACCTGCCATGTCTGAAAAAGACACATAAGGTGCTTGGCATCTTGGTCGCAAAATTTATCTGTTCAGGCAATGTACCTTTTGAGGAACCTGGTAGGGGCACTGCCCATTCACTCAGAAGCATGAAAGGTAACTGTAATAACAAAGTGACTTGTTTTTAAGGGGAACAAAATAAGAGAACTCACGAGCACCCGCATTGACCCCCTTCACCCATTCTCCTGGTTAAATCCCATTGGGCAACATCTTCAATGGAAAGGGACACTACCTCCTGCAAAGTAACACGTTTTGTTGAGAAGAGCCAATAGGAAAACTATCAGATCCATGAAATGGAAAGCTGATTGATGCCAGCCTTGTTTGATCATAAATCTGGATCTATTTTAATGATTAGAATAACCATCTGTTTGTTCATAAATTCCCAGAAAAGAGAAGATTAAGTCCATAGTTAATGCCTGCACATACATTATTCTTACCATGTCATGCCTTGCACTTCCGTTAAATAAAAATGCCTTTCTTGGTGATGAAGCTCTTAACCTACTTGTCATATGTTTATACAGATTAAAAGGGAGATAAAAATACTTCAGAACCTCTGTGGAGGTCCAAATATCATCAAGCTGCTCGATATTGTCAGGGATCAACATTCGAAAACTCCCAGCTTGATCTTCGAATATGTCAACAACACAGATTTTAAAGTGCTCTATCCCACGTTGACAGATTATGATATTCGCTACTACTTATACGAGCTACTAAAGGTTTTGTTTACCATCCTAACTTATTTTACTATGATATTGAACAAAACTCTTTGTCCTCTGGATCAGCAGAAAGATTTGTGGAATACCTTTAGATATCAAGGAATATTGTTCTTCGGGAAATGTTGAAATTACCTATTAGTTTACTTATTTACGCTCCAATTACACCTGGTGTTCTAGATCAGTATCATTAATCCTAAGTCTCAACTTCTTGAAAGGTTCTCTGTGTAGCCAGCTCAAATGCATTAGCAACTAAAGTTCAGAATTAACGTCTGATAAAATAGTTGACCCTGAATTTTACTTGTGCTTTATGATCTAGGACTAGGATTTAGTGAAACACCGTTTTATGAAGTTCTAGTAATCTTAGAAGTGCTGGTTTCAAGATATTAGTGATTGTTGAGCATTTTTTTGTGCAAGATAAGTGCCAGGTCTCTGCTATATATTTTGAAGCCAAAGTCATGGTTTCAGACATGCAAGGATTTGCTTATTTGTGACATATTCCCTTTTTTGTTTATGGTTATACCATTCCAGGCATTAGATCACTGCCATTCACAAGGCATTATGCATCGAGATGTCAAGCCGCATAATGTTATGATTGATCATGATCTTCGAAAACTTCGTTTGATAGACTGGGGCCTCGCGGAGTTTTACCATCCAGGCAAGGAATACAATGTCCGTGTTGCTTCAAGGTTTGTGTAAATACAGTAAACTACTTGGTTGGTTATGTTATTTCTTACTACCCATAAAAATACTCCATCTGATCCAAATTAATTGACTAAAGTTGTACTCCCTCCATCCCGAATTACTTGTCGCAGAAATGGAAAGGAATGGTTGTATCTAGAACTAAAAAACATCTAGATACACCCATTTCCACGACAAATAATTCCGGACAGAGGGTAAGTGTGCGTCGATTAATATGGATTGGAGGGAGTACCATTTTTCTTGCTCCATAACTTATTTGGATTGAACCCTTTTGATCGTTTGTATTGCGCGAGGATGACAATTTAAGAATATGACTTATTGTTGGAAATTGGCTCCAGAAGCAACATATGAGCAAATAAATTCACTCGATTTGAATCCTGTATTCCTGTTTGAGCTGCCTAATGTACTTCTTTCGGTGATGTATCCATGCTCTAAAATTTAAGCGATGAAGTAGTTCAATCATTATAATTATACGTAGAAATCTGAGCAAATTATATAAAAAAAACATGTTCTATCACTGCAAAACAATTTATTTTATCACTACAACATATTATTCATGTTAGCATGTTTTATTGCTTATTGGTCCATGCCACATGTTCTGATTTTCATTTATATTTCCTTACGTATGATTTTTAATATCTGAGCATAGCATTTTTTCCCCATTTAATCCAGGTATTTCAAGGGACCTGAACTTCTAGTTGATTTGCAAGATTATGATTATTCTCTGGACATGTGGAGCCTTGGGTGCATGTTTGCTGGGATGGTATGTATGGATTATGAATACCCGTATATGTTTCCTGGACTCAATGGGGTATTGACATCAGGTCCGTAACTGATTCATTTGCTACTTGTTTTCATGGCTGCAGATCTTCCGCAAGGAGCCATTCTTCTATGGCCATGATAACCACGACCAACTCGTGAAAATTGCAAAGGTGAGCCCCAGTTTGTTTCTGGCATCTCTCATATCTCTGGTAATAGAAGGCTTGTACTTCTTGCTAAATGTGTTTTAGTGATGCAACCCATGGTTTGGCCTTTTTGCTAAAAACCTTTCCATTACAAAACCTGTTTTCTGTAGCGTGCAGTGAGCACCATGTTCTTGAGTTCAGTTAGGGTTAAGATCGCTCAATCTGATTGGATAAGATTGTATTGTAAGAAAGACCTATCTCCTCTTTCAGAGTTAAGGCAGTTTGCTCAATAATCAAGGAATAAGTCACCCCTCATCTTCCTTTCCACGGTGGCTCCTTTCTGTTGAGGCCCATGGCTATGACCGCCCACTCCCAAATTAAAAATGCTCTGTACAGGACCCAATTTGCCGTTGAGATGACACTAAACCCAACAGCCAGATAACATACAGTGATATTTGTCCTAACTACATGTTTGGTAATGATTAGTCAAGGGAAACTGATTTTAATTTCCATTCCCCTGTTTGGCATGGGAAGGCAATTAGAGCTGAGAATTTAAGAGAGATTTAATTGCCCTTGTTTGGTTAGTGGGATTAGGCAAGGGAATACAAAGATTACAGCCGTACCTTCTCTTGCGCAAGTACGTAACTAACAGATCGTTCTGTTTTCCTGTCAATTCCCAATCCACTCTTCAATTACCAGGGACCCCCAGGGAAGAGATCTGAGGGAGTTGGGCCTCTTAATTCCCCTTCCTCTTCCCTCCTTAATTCCCAAATCCCTGAGCCAATCAAGGGATATTAAGTCCCACGCACCTTAAACTCCCATTCCCAACCTAGTCTCCCAACCAAACACGTTGTAAGGAGCTTTGCCTATGTTACACGTACCTTGCTCATTGTGTTCATATTTATGTACAGCCCACTTGATGCAATAAAACCACAATAACTTAGGGCTCCTTTGGTTCATAGGATAGGAATATCATAAAGGACAGCCCGGTGAAGGATAGGAAAATCATAGGAAGTGAGATGACATGTATCTCAGTTCCTATATGGAAACTGGAAAGAGATGTAATTTGATGCATTGGGTAGGAATTTTTCCATTGAGTCTAGGATAATGTTTTTTTTCCTTTGAAATGTGAAGGATTGATTCCTATCCTGCATAGGAATAGGAATTCATTCCTACAAACCAAAGGGGTCCAAAGTATTTTTTCCTACAAAATTCCTATCCTTTAGAATTCCTTCAAAATTCCTATAAACCAAAGGAGGCCTTACCCTGAATACATGGATACTTTGTCCAGCATAATAGTGTCTTATTCGTGCCACTTACCATTATTCTCAGGTACTTGGAACAGACAGCCTGAATGCTTACTTAAAGAAGTACCACCTTGAGCTTGACCCTCAGCTTGAACATCTTGTTGGAAGGTAAGCTGCATGCTTGGGGATGTTGATACCTTCCTCCTTTGTGTTTGAAGACCAGAATTCTGACCTTTCCATCATTCCATGTATGTCATGTGCAGGCACAGTAGAAAACCCTGGTCAAAGTTCATTAATGCTGATAACCAGCATCTAGTATCTCCCGAGGTTAGTTAATGACACTTGTATAACCACTATATGTTTGGTCGTGAGTTATTTGCTTGACTGCATGATTTCATGTGTATTTGTAGGCCATAGATTTTCTCGATAAGCTTCTTCGCTATGATCACCAAGATAGGCTCACTGCCCGTGAAGCTATGGTAAGTCAAAGACCGATAAACTTAATTACAATTCAAGACGATACTAGTTTTGTTTCTTGGACCTATCTTAGTGAAGTTGCTCTGCGCATGTACTTTCAGTTATTTGCACACATTATGTTGCGTGCTTTTGACCATATGTTGGTTGAGTCTTGCTTACCTGTTTTTGAGTTCCAATAAAATATTTTCACACATCCAAGGTTCTATAACTGACCACTGATCAGTAACAATCATTTATTCTTTAGAGTTAATATGCTGCAAACGTGTATGTAGGCGCATCCATACTTCCTTCAAGTGAGAGCAGCGGAGAACAGCAGGGCACGGCCACAATGACATTCAGTGTGAACCCTGCAAAGTGGAGCAGTTGATGATTGTTACTGATCATCGCATGATGGAACTATTACAATGGCAACTTGGTCCAACTGTCCGTCCTATGACTGAGATGATGGTCTGAGTCGCTGTGCGTGGACAACCCAGAAAGAGCTTGTAACCTTGTATCTGTAAACTTCAGAGCAGACTGTGTATACTCCAGTGACAGTGGTTGATGAATGTGGCGACATGCATATCACCATTTCTGTAACAGGGTAAGTGAATTGTCTACATTGGGCAGTCCTAAGATCCAACAGTATTGGAGTTGCAACAGTGAAATGTATGGGTTATTTTATTGGGATTAATCTGTGTAACATTAAAGACGAGTGTTTATTTGGAATTATCAAACATCAGTGGAAAAACCAGTATGCGTTGATATCTTGCAAAATTTCTCTGAGTTGTGCCTGCACATTACATAGCGAAAAACCCGTATGCACTTAGAAAAATTGTTGGACTGTTCACAGAACCCGTCCGAGTGTCTGACCATGCGACCCTAGTGTGCAGAGTGATGATGAGCCATCACGGAACAGCACACTCCATCATATCTTTGCTGTACTGCCATAGGGATTAACAATAAACGATGGTATACCTCTGCTCATACTAAATCAAACGTCTTTTAAGTTTGATCAAAATTGTAGAAAAACATACCCCCTCTGACATAATATTAATTTATTAATTTGAACTAAAACATCTTTTAAGTTTTAGTTCAAATTTGAACTAAAACCAACAACATTTATTTCGGATCAGAGGGAGTACCATTATCTACAACATAATATTAATTTATATACAGTTGATGTTCATATTTTTCTAGAGTTAGTCAAACATAAGCAAATGTTTGACTTACGACAAAGCTATAAGTTCAGGTATATTCTGGGACGAAGGAAGTAGAAAAGAAAAGATACATGACCCAGCCACCAAGATTAGACTAACACGACTGTCAAATTAGCAGATGGAAACTGCAAGTTGTTTTTTCCCCTACCTCACTGGTTCATGAAGGCCGATGGAAATTGAATAAATGTAATGTACAGGTACAAGATGGTGTAGAAAAAAATGATTACTATGTATGTGTTGATCTATTTAGGACGTGGAGCCTCTGTCTCTAATCCATTTTGTGGCGACCCATTTCTCTCCTTTGACCACTGGGCAGCTTCCATGAAGTGAAGTCTGCAGCAGCACATCGACAATAGAGTTAGAAATCCACAGACATATTTGGCTCTGGGGCCATATGGCACAGATATTAGAACAACATGTACTTTGAATGAAAATTTGTGACATGAAAGGCCATGCGAACTTGAGTGCCAAGAACCTACCGGATCAATGGTACCATTTAGCATAAGGGAGTAAAACAAGAGGCCATCCCCCTTCCTCGGTTTCACCTTTAAGCCGATGCACTGTTCGTAGTCGTAGCCTATGTTCATATTATCCCCATTCTGTAAATCAATAAAGAGTTCATTACAGTTCTACCCGAAACAATGCGTAGCAAAATTTCCTAAGTGCCCACCTCATATGGGAACATGGTTTCTCCACCTTCCTCGACATCCGTGAGGTAGAGCAAGAAAGATGCCACCTGTGGAAATGCAGTTAATGGTTTCTTAATTACATTCACCAATTGAATCAAGTAACTGAAGTCCCTTTTGTTCAGTGTTCAATCAAACAGACTGCGGACCAAAATATTTCTTAAAAGGACTGATGCAGAGTGAGTCGTAGTTGTGGAAAACCAAAACCAAGGAGATAAACAGAAAGGAATGCAGAGGACAGACTATGTTGAGATAAAACTTGTCATGTCGGATGTAGGGTTGTGTGAAAAAACAATATACATGTGTTATACACAGCTGTAAGCTTGGTAAAAAAACTTATCTCAAGTTGAAAAAAGTATTCAACATAGAGCTCCAATTTAAGCAGAATGCAAGTGAAACTAGAACATACCCTTTGACTTTTTTGTGGACCATATTGAGCCGGGTCAAATGCATCATAGTGTGAAGCATACTTCTGTCCAATCTCATACCGAAGGACATTAAATGGCTGCAACATATGACAAACGTAAAATCAGTGACATACTGTAACAGTGTTTTCTTAAATCAAAGAAACTTATCGGAAGGCTACATGGCACTACACAAACCTGGATGTTCAATGAGTATGAAAGCCGACAATTGAGCACAAGAAACAATCAATAGATCATTGCGAGAAAAAAGTTCAAGAAAAGATAAACAATCAGGTAAATGTAGGTAACTTTAAAACCACAACACCGTGCAAGCTTCCCGCTAATCCTACCTTGCAGAGAGTAAATTTACCTCTCCATGACTTCTTGGCATCATGGTAGCCTTTGCAATCTTCGTTTCAATTTCTGCAAGGGCTCCAGTTGGATCTTCTTCGGCACTAAGGAATGTGCCTGAGCTGTTTGGCAATTTGATACAACCATTAGCTCATTGCAGAATTAGATAAGGTTGTAAGCATTTAGTTTTTGTAACAACAAGAGGCATAAATTACTATAGATCAGGATAGTGAATCCCAAACAAGAGTAGTACTTCTGTACAAGAGTTTGAGCTTTTGTAAAAATGGTAGCTATTTCACGGGTTGAAATAGGACAAAAACCATGATGAACACCCCTAATAAGAATATCAAAATGAAGTATACGCTCAGCACTCCTATATGTCAACACTCTAGTAAACCGTGTGGGTTTTACACCATCACATCGTTTTGTCCCCTTCCCATTTTTTGACGCCTAGGTGGCCAATATCACACCAAGCATCACCAGCTTTGTCAGATTTTCCATGTGCCCTGCAAAACCTCACATGGACTCGGGTAAACCCAGCTTCTGTTTTCCCTCTTTTCTTTGCAACCAGGGTCTCCCAATGTCAAGCTCTGGTGCCTACTCTCCCCATATCTTCAACCTCAAATATCAAAGTTATCTGCTAAGGGTAATCATGAACTTACAGTAACAAATAAGATTGGAGATTTGGCACAAAAATATATAAGAAAAATATCCCATCTTATCAAGCCCATTGAAAACAAAGCACAGATCTGATATCGCTGTGCATTTGGCACCTCACAATCCCTAATAAAATGTTTCAAAATATCTAAATCGTATAGAGACTAGGAGGTGAGTATTTGCACAACAAGTCAAGGGTTCACCGTAGTAGTGGAGAGACAGCGTCAGTATTAAGAGAAGTAAACAATTACTAGATACCAGAACTGGACCGATTTTGTTTGCTTAGAATTTATAACTTACACTTAAATTATTCCATGTGATTCAAAATAGTACTCCCTCCGTTCCGAATTACTTGTCGCAGGTATGGATGTATCTAGATGTATTTTAGTTGTAGATACATCCATTTCTGCGACGAGTAATTTGGAACGAAGGGAGTAATAATTAACTGCTGGTCTCTAACAGTCTAACTCACTGGTCCAATTATCTAACCATTATGATGAATGCTCTGGGACTGTAAGAAGTTAGTGTAAGTAAAGATTTACCTTGTCCTTATTCCTTTGGTAGTCTCCTCGCTTTCTCCTTTCCTTAAGGCCAATGTTGATGGCCTAAGCCGTGCCTTCGCAGTTTTTACTACATTCTCACACTGTTCTGCTGTTGCAAATTGTGGAAAATATAATGCACGGGGTTGCCAGCTCAAAATCTGTTCAAGAGGATGAGAGTTACATTACTAAAGGAACATTGAGCAGATTCCCAAAGAAACTAAGAAGGGGTAAAGGCAGCATTGATTTATGTAGGTGAAATTGTGGTACAGGAAAAAGGAAATATACCACACGCAACAAGAAGGCTCAGCGCAACTTTTCAAAAGAATTTAGTGTTACCGTTCTTAAGGGCTAGTATAGTAGGTACCGAAGTTAGGAGCTGAACATGAGATTAAAATCCACACAGTACACATATGATTTTTTTCCTCAACTTTTTGTACATGCACGTAAGTCAACATTTTGTAGCACCATAATTGTTTTATGAAATTCTCAAAGCGTTTGAGATTTGATTGTACAAACTCACGAAAAGATGCATATGGACATATGTTAATATTATACTTTCCGGATATGAAATGCGTGCATAGGAAGTGACCGGGCACCCATTTGTTAGGTACATGGGTCGCAGGAATGAAAACTAGCAGTTCCATCTTTCATTCGCAATGATGTCCTTCAAGTAACCAATTGCCAATGCAATTCTCCGACAAACAGATGACACTAGCTGTAGCTGGTAACAAAAATCAGATAAACAGTGTCCTTTTCCTGTAACAACTTCCTTTGAATAAGCTATTTCCCACGCAATTGGCCAATACCACAACTAATAGGAACCTAGGTAAACCACATAAGAGTCCTGAAGACTCATGGAAGAGGCGGAAATGCGGGGTTACAGACGCTATGTAATGCTCACAGAATCTACATGTCTTGCATTTGCTGGTAATGTCATCAGGCGCAAAGATTGTGACATTCCACATGTGTAACGATATTCAGTTAGGAATGTAAGGTACACCCAAGACCATGATAATTGCATGGGAGCTAAACTAACAACCGGCAGTTGAGTTGCCCACAAAAATGCTACGTATCAAATCAAACTATTCACACTAAATCCGTTGTGCAGACAGTAGATACAGTATTCCAAATCGGAGGTACTTTGCACCGACAAATCGCTCAACTGCAGTCTGCAAGTGACCCTCAGAACAGACCACTCTGGCAAATTGCCACCAAATGCACCGCGCATCCTCACCAAAAATTTCACGAACGCCAGCATCCCTCGTCCCCAATGCCAATCAGTGGTCACTGACACCCCCCTTATAGACTAAAATGGCAATGCGACGAAGGGAATCGGGACGAGGCGTGACCTGGTAAGGGATCAAGGAGGGCGTGGGCTCGCCGGACTCCCCGTACGCCATCTCCGGCCAGACCGCCTCCATGAGCCGCTCCCTCCGCAGCGGCCGCTCCACGTCCTCCTCCCCCTGCGGATCCTGCCACGGAAACAACCGCCAGAGCCACCCCAGATCAGAGGCCCGCGCGTGCGCGCGACGAAACGAATCTGCGGGCCGGGGCGGCCGCGTTAGTTACCTGGGTGAAGAGGAGGGAGCCGAGGAAGCCGGCGAGGAAGAAGAGGGAGCAGGAGAGGAGCACCACGGGGAGCCGCAGCCGCGTCCGCATCAGCCCGCCGCCTCCCCCGCCGCCGCTCCTGATGGCTCCGCCGCCCTTCATGGCCGCTGGTGCCTCTCGCGCCTGGCGTAGCGTGTTGGTTGGGTGGGGGGAAGCGGGAGAGGGAGACGACGAGGACGGAGAGGGGAGCTCGGGAGGAGGCGAGTCTTCTCTGGGCGGTCGTGGAATGGCTGCTGAAATTGATGAGCGAGCGAGCGTACGATTGGTTTGTTTGTTATACGGGGGCCGTGCGCTGATCTCAGACGCGTGCATGCGAGTCAATAAGTGTGGCGGTAATTAAAAGTGGCCGTTGTATAATTTACATCATCATGTAGAAAACTCCAATTTTAATAGATGATGTATATTTGTGATGTAAAAACTAGCCAGTTCAATTACTACTTCAATTGAAACATAGCAAGTTCAACTACTATTTCATTTGAAACATAATTAAACATAATTCGAATTAAAAATAAATTATATGACTACACTACTAATTCAAACTACTCCCTCATTTCCGGTTTATAGGGCTTATCTCAAAATTTTAGTTTTTCCATTTTATAAGGCTCAATTTGGTTGTTCTCCATCACATGTTCAGACTTCAAGATGCATTAAATCATTGCATGCAAGTATTAAGAGAAAACTGACCAATGCATGCATTGCAATTAATGCATTCGTAAACATAATTTTTTGAGGAAAACAAGAGCATTAATTGGGTGCTTTTGCAAACTACAAAAAATATTCCACCACTCATCATCTACCTTGGTTGGTGAGATTTTTGAATTAAGCCTTATAAACCGAAAAGGAGGAAGTACTACTCATTATCGGAGCTCTTGAAATGCTCCCAGAACTCATCCTTGTCCGGGTTGTCGCACTCCTCGTCCTCCTCCTCCGAGTCGCCCCAGTCCCCGGACTCAAGACTCGACATGGATCACCGTCGAAGGGTCGGCCTCGTCCTCATTATTCACCCCCTTATTCTTCGGCTCGGTCTCACGCTTCCAGTAGAACTCGCGCTCGGCCTGGAGATGCTCCACGCGAACCTTGCCATCGCCGCCTCGGCCTCCGGCACGAGGAACTCCATAGCTGCCCAGGTCTCAATCTCTGGGAAGTTGAGCTCTATCCTCGGCCTCCCGGCATGCCACGCTGCCATGTCGTACGCATGCGCGGCCTTGTCGATGGTGCGGTACATGCCGAGCTAGAAGCGGTGACCCTCGTCGTAGAATTCGACACCGAAGTTGCCGGACGGCTTTGCCCGCACTCTGAAGAGACCCGTCTTGCTCTTCGGGACCTTCTTCAGCGGCATGGTGGCGGCAGCGCGGCCTTCGAATCAGGCATTGGCGGTGCGGCGCGATTCAAACGGTTTGGTGGCGGACGGCGATGGTGGGGGCAGGGCAGGGGCTTGGTGGTGGCGAATTGAACGACAGCGGTGGCAAATCAGGCCGAATTCGAGGAGTGCAACGGCGGGTGGCAGTGGGGTTGGGGCTGGGCGAGGCTTTGGCCGTGGCGAATCGGGGACATCGGCAGTGGCAAATCGGGCCTGATTCGAGGCGGGCGACGACGGAGGAGTGGCGGAACCAGCGGCGGGGGTGGTTGGTCGCCGAATCTAGCACGGGCGACAGCGGCGTGGTGCAGTGGGCGGGCGGGTGACGATGGCAGCGTGACGGACGGAGTGAGGAAGAAGACGCGCGGTGGGTGGGGGGATGAAAGGCAGTTGGGCGTTGGCATGCAACCAACCGTTTTACATCAACTGGGAGGTGGAGATGCAAATTTGCATCTCCAGGTGTTGTATTTTACATCACTTGGGCAGGGTGATGTTTTTTTTGCATCTACATCATCGGTTGGAGGTGAGTTTTTAGGCCCCGGAGATGCATAAGTTATTGACACAAACAATCAGAACCAACTGTAGGAGCCTTTTTAAATACTTCTGATCTGCTGCTATTTATCTTCAATCATGACAGTACAACGAACACCAGAAATAATAAATACATCCAGATTCGTAGACCATCTGGCGACGACTACAAGCACTGAAGCTAGCCGAAGGCGCGCCGCCGCCATTGCCCCTCCCTCGCCGAAGTGTTGTAGTGGACCATCAAGAAGTCGTTGGGCTATGGTCTCGTAGGACTAGCGCACCAGAACAGCAACCGTAGCCGATGAAGAGTAGCGTAGATCGAAAGGATCCACCTGAAAACACACTAACGTAGACTAACGACAAATAGATCCGAACAAATCCATCAAATACAGACCCGCTAGAGACAAACCTCCACATGCCCAGCGACGATGCTATTTCAACCCTAGCCGCCACTACCAAGTTTCTCCCAAATGTCGCTGCATTGGCCCTCCTCCTTTATCTCCATCTGGTGGTCTCATCGACAGCAAGAGGAGTGGGGACCCGTCCTTCCATTCATTTTTCTCCTTAGATTTTGTTTCCCCAGCGACATCATCGAGGTGGTGGCATCGATGTCGTGCTGGAATAAGGTCTCTCGAATCAGGTGCCGATGAAGGGCATTGATACGTCCATTTTGCATCATGTTTTCCTACTGTTATTTCTTATGTTTTGGGTCATTATTTCACTTTATGATACTATTCTTCTGACATTTTTCTCTTATTTTGCAAGTTTCACATGAAGAAGAAGATTGCCGGTAGCTGGAATTCTGGACCGAAAATAGCTACAAAAGAGATAGCTATTATGCACAACTCCAAATGTCCTGAAAACTTATGAAAAATTGTTTTGGAACATGTAAAAATTATTGGCGAAGGAAATATTGAAGGATATATGCCCTAGAGGCAATAATAAAGTTATTATTTATTTCCTTATATCATGATAAATGTTTATTATTCATGCTCGAATTGTATTAACTGGAAACATGATACATGTGTGAATACATAGATAAACAGAGTGTCACTAGTATGCCTCTACTTGACTAGCTCGTTGATCAAAGATGGTTATGTTTCCTGGCCATAGACAAAGAGTTGTCATTTGATTAACGGGATCACATCATTAGGAGAATGATGTGATTGACTTGACCCATTCCGTTAGCTTAGCACTTGATCGTTTAGTATGTTGCTATTGCTTTCTTCATGACTTATACATGTTCCTATGACTATGAGATTATGCAACTCCCGTTTACCGGAGGAACACTTTGTGTGCTACCAAACGTCACAACGTAACTGGGTGATTATAAAAGTGCTCTACAGGTGTCTCCGAAGGTACTTGTTGGGTTGGCGTATTTCGAGATTAGGATTTGTCACTCCGATTGTCGGAGAGGTATCTCTGGGCCCACTCGGTAATATACATCACTTAAGCCTTGCAAGCATTGTAACTAATGAGTTAGTTGCGGGATGATGTATTACAGAATGAGTAAAGAGACTTGCCGGTAATGAGATTGAATTAGGTATTGAGATACCGACGATTGAATCTCGGGCAAGTAACATACCGATGACAAAGGGAACAACGTATGTTGTTATGCGGTTTGACCAATAAAGATCTTCGTAGAATATGTGGGAGCCAATATGAGCATCCAGGTTCCGCTATTGGTTATTGACCGGAGACGTGTCTCGGTCATGTCTACATAGTTCTCGAACCCGTAGGGTCCGCACGCTTAAAGTTCGATGATGGTTATATTATGAGTTTATGTGTTTTGATGTACCGAAGGTAGTTTGGAGTCCCGGATGTGATCACGGACATAACGAGGAGTCTCGAAATGGTCGAGACGTATATATTGATATATTGGACGACTATGTTCTGACACCGGAATGGTTTCGGGGAGTTTCGGGCATATACCGGAGTACCGGGGGTTACCGGAACCCCCCGGGGAGACTAATGGGCCTATTGGGCCCTAGTGGGGAAGAGGAGGGGCGGCCAAGGGCATTCGCGCGCCCCCTTCCCCCAGTCCGAATTGGACAAGGAGGGGGGCGACACCCCCCTTTCCTTTCCCCATCTCTCTCCTTCCCTCTCCTCTCCTACTCCCACATGGAAGAGGGAGTCCTACTCCCGGTGGGAGTAGGACTCCTCATGGGGCGCGCCTAGGGTGGCCGGCCCCCTCCCCCTCCTACACTCCTTTATATACGGGGAGGGAGGCACCCCTTGGAGACACAACAATTGATCTCTTGGATCTCTTAGCCGTGTGCGGTGCCCCCCTCCACCATAATCCACCTCGATAATATCATAGCAGTGCTTAGGCAAAGCCCTGCGTCGCTAGAACATCATCATCGTCACCACGCCGTCGTGCTGACGGAACTCTCCCTCAAAGCTTGGCTGGATCGGAGTTCGAGGGACGTCATCAAGTTGAACGTGTGTAGAACACGGAGGTGCCGTGCGTTCGGTACTTGATCGGTCGGATCATGAAGACATATGACTACATCAACCGTGTTGTGCTAACACTTCCGCCTTCGGTCTACGAGGGTACGTGGACACACTCTCCCATCTCGTTGCTATGCATCACCATGATCTTGCATGTGCGTAGGAATTTTTTTGAAATTACTACATTTCCCAACAATGGCATCCGAGCCAGGTTTTATGTGTTGATGTTATATGCATGAGTAGAACACAAGTGAGTTGTGGGTGATACAAGTCATACTGCTTACCAGCATGTCACGCTTTGGTTCAACGGTATTGTTGGATGAAGCGGCCCGGACCGACATTACGCGTACGCTTACGCGAGACTGGTTCTACCGACGTGCTTTGCACACAGGTGGTTGGCGGGTGTCAGTTTCTCCAACTTTAGTTGAACCGAGTGTGGCTACGCCCGCTCCTTGAGAAGGTTAAAACAGCACTAACTTGACGAACTATCGTTGTGGTTTTGATGCTTAGGTAAGAACGGTTCTTGCTTAGCCCGTAGCAGCCACGTAAACCTTGCAACAACAAAGTAGAGGACGTCTAACTTGTTTTTGTAGGGCATGTTGTGATGTGATATGGTCAAGACATGATGCTATATTTTATTGTATGAGATGATCATGTGTTGTAACCGAGTTATCGGCAACTGGCAGGAGCCATATGGTTGTCGCTTTATTGTATGCAATGCAATCACCCTGTAATGCTTTACTTTATCACTAAGCGGTAGCGATAG